ATAATCAGCAATCAAGACGCTTGGATAGAAGGCTGATAAACTATCTAATTTTTTCATAAAGGGCAATTCTAAGCATATTACCAATTCATTAAGATAGTATATAAATGTGCCAGTTACCTTGAAGGATAAAGAAAATAAGACAGTTACAGTTATTAGAAATTTTGTTCGTATTGATAATGGTAAAATAGAACTAATGCTATTTTTTGGTATATCAAATATTCAAAAGCTTCAAGGTGTCCCTAAGCCAAATAAAAACCAGTTTTGCATAAAGTTACATAAAAAGTTATATGTTATCTAACCTTTAGCAAAGCTCTAGTAGTCAAAGATCTGCCAAAAGAGGATCAGAAGTTGTCATATGAAGTGCCTCTCAGCTCTTAGGTTTCTGTTATTTCTTCTAATCTGACTAGTGAGAGGAATTTAAAAAAAAAGTGTGAAGAGCTTGAAAAGCATCTCATAAAGACTGAAGAAATGCTCTATTTAGCTTTAAGTACTGGTAAATTCTTGCTGATACATGTGAATCTTTATATAAGGTAGTATTAGCTATTAAACCCTTAAGTTTTTCACTGCAATTAACTAGATTTTTAAGAAGAGATTCCACCTTAGCTTCTTAGGATGTATCAGACAAATTATCAGAGGAAGAGACCATATTATTTTTATTATTTTCAGGATAACACTTCTTTTTTTCATCTAAAATTTTTGTGTTTTTTTCAACTATCTTTTCATACAATGCATCCAAATTTATATTATTTATATCCTTCTTTAAAGCCTGAATTAGCTGAGTCTGAATACTAAATGGCGTTAGCAAGACCAACACAGACTTAAATTTTTTTCTTCTAGTCTTTTTGCCTTACCACCTAAAATAACACTCCCTTCTGAAGCCAAATCGGTAGACTCACTAGATTCAATCTTAGCATTACATATCTTTTTATTCAGTTCTGTGAAGAGAATATATTTTGACTATATATATCTGATTCGATCTGTTTTATCTTATAGTCTGAAAATTCTCATCTAAAACAGGCTGATTAGAAGAAGATGAAATAACCTTTTACTGAAGGCGTTCTTTATTTTTCCATATTTTATAAACACGCTTAGGTTTAATATGGAATTTACTAGCCATTTTTTTTGTTGCATTGGATATTCTACCTTAATTTCCTTTATATTAGCTTCTGATAACAAGGTTGCCTTAGCATCATAAAATGTATTATAAATATGGGCTACCATCTTCTCTAGATTTTATATATTAGAAAAAAAAATATTAATACTCTTCAATAAATATCAATGTGTATCAATATATATCAATGAGTATATATCAATACTTTTCAATATGTATCAATACTTTTCAATATGTATTAATACTCTTCAATATATTTCAATGCTCACCAATGCGTATCAATATATATAGTATTCATAGAAAAAATAATGCTTCTGAAATTTTAGGACCGCGCAGTCTCAGAAAATTGCAACATAAATTTTTCCTGCTATATAATCATTGCTAATATTATGCTCAATATGTATAAACTGAAAGATATAAAATATAGAGGACATTGGCTGGGTAGTACATACAAGCAAGAGCTCAAAAAAAAATAAGATCTGCTATCAATTTTAACTCTAAAATTATTGATTTTAACGAAAAGTTGCAGGCTAAAAATTCAGAGTATTCTGAGTGAAAAAAGGAGTTTCAGAAAATCTATACTAATATTGAAAATAAAATTAACTAGTTAAATACATCTAGTACTAAAGTTAGATTCCAACTTATTTTTGAATGGAAGTTTCATTCTGAGAGTAAACATGAACTTAAAGTCAAATATTTTGCCAAAATTAAATTGCTCAAATCAAATATTAAATCACTAAAGAGAGAGGCAACTTTAGCCCAAAAAGCTTCATCTGCTGACAAGGTCCAGGTTCTTTTTCTTGAAACTAAAATATGTGAATTAGAAGGTAAGTTGGAAGACATAGATCTAGAGCGTACATATCATTATTTAGATATAATAGAGGGTCAGCTTAAATAAGCTTATCCGATCTTAAAGAGATCGATTCTCTCAAGCTTAAATTGGATTGAGTGAAGGAGGACCTTAATTCAAAAAATTATGAAATAAAATATGTGGAAAAAGGGAAAGAGTCATTAGATAGCATATATAAACAGGAAATAGATATTCTATCTTTAAGTAATTAAAGTTAATAAATAAAAATAAGTTCCTTAAGGACCAGTTAGTATCAAAAATAAATACTTCATCCCAAATAATTTCTGAGATGACCTGTCCTGGAAAATTTATTTTAAGTAAGAGGATTCTTTTAGAATCGGATAATGCAGAAGCAGTACCATTGATTCCAAAAATACCTTTTACATCAGTGATTACTTCTATTGTTACAAGTTCTCTAATGATGCTAATAGTAACGTATTCTATACTTGCTTTATTACTGATTGTGATCATATAGTTTATGGCCAAGAAATGGTAAAATTCATGAAAAAAAAGTAACCAATATTTTACTTACAAAAATTATATAAATAGAGATCATGTAAAGCATCTCTTGGCCAGACCAGATCATTATTATTTTCAATTTTAATCAACTATTATATAAGTACTGGTACAAGTAGAACTTCTTTAAATCTCTTATTGATGTGAGCCAATAGCTTTTCTGATAAATCTTTAGGTAGATTTATTAAGGTATTTTCAGCTTGAATTACCGTATACGTTAATAATTAACTAATATAGATTTGATTATCTCCCTTACTATTATGCCTATACTGTAGTAAAAATCAATAGTCATCTATTACAATACCTCCTATCTTCTCCTATTCTGATATTATTTTACGAAATAACTGCCTATCCCCTTCTGTGATTGAGAGATGAATTTCATTGGATTCGAAGCCTATATATTGAGAAACTTTTTCCTGTAGTTCAGCTATTATATCAATAAAGCTTATTTTTAAAATATGCAGATTTTTTTTTCAGCTGATCTTAACTAAGTTAATAGTTTACCAAATTATTATATTCAAACATACCCTTAAATAGAAATCAAGATTATGCATTCCTAATTTGATACGTAGAAGAACTAAAAGGCAGAACTACCTTCTATGAAACTTCATCTTTTAGATATAGATGAAGTCACAAAGCATGAATTGTCTTGAATTCAACTATCTTTTAAAGGTTTGTCTCATCTAAATCTAATTGATAAGGATCATCAGATAGTCTTCAAATATCAATAACCACAAAGTATTTTTTTATTACCTCATAAATTTTTTTTGCTAGAAGCTCATAATTATCATGTATATCTTTAAGAATTTGTTTTATACTATCTAATGTTTTACATTTACAATGCAATGAAATATATTTAAGATTTACGCATATATTTAAATAAATTTCATAAAACCATTAGGCTATATAATTAAGCTGATTCCTTCATGTTTGCCTGATCTAAAGAAAGGAACAATTTTTAATTGAGTTGTCAAAGGGTTTTTCAGTAAGGTCATCAAAGACTATAATAATAAATTGATCAGTTCTTTTGAAAGATGCAATATCAGGTAGTTTTTCAGATGCAATTAGCTTGAATCTCACATTTTCATACTATAGAGCTTGCTTATCTATGGCTATAAATTCATAAAAATATTGTACTGCTTTCCATAATTCTTCATCTTGATATTACGTGATAACAATTAGATTATCATATAGAATATACCTTTTACCAAAATTTTTGCTTCTACCTTTTGGTATTTTATGACTATACTTTTCACCAGATATCTATGGATAGATTTTTGGATACTTACTTTCTAGAAGTAGATGTACTGCCATGTGTATCTTTTTAGACTCAAAGGTGCTTATAACTTCTAGTCTAAATAAAAGTTTAGAAGCGAATGGATTCTATTTTTTCAAAGGTATAGTTTCATCTAATTTACATAGTTTGTAATACTCTATAGTATTTTGAAAAGTAGGATATTTATTTAAGAAACATATTTTATTAACCATAAGGAAAAAAAGCACCTCAACTAATGAGAAGAATTTAACTTCATAAATACTAACTTTTTTTATAATTATAAAAAATTGAAATGGGAGAACTGGTTATTTATATTGATCCTTAGAAAAATGCGAGAGCTAGACTAGGATTTTACTTTGCAGAAGTATAAGAAAAAAGTGTCTCAACTAATAAATAGAATCTGACTTCATAGATGCCAACTCCTTTTTCACCTTCTGCATCTACAACTTTAAATCCTCAATTTCACCTTGCAATTTCTTATTTGTATTAACCTACTCTCTATATTCCTTTTTTATATCTAGTATAAATTTCTCAAAAGTTTATCTATTATAATCAAGCAGATATTAGGTCTATATTTTAAGCTCATTTATTATCCAACGATTATTTTCTTCCTCATGATCATAAGTAATATTGTTAGTCTGAGTATTATTTGTGATATATATAGTTAGTAATGCTAGAGATATATTACATTCTGTTTAGCTTTGAAGATGCAATATTTTTTCCTGAGTCATAATTTTATATTTCCTATTTAACAAATTTTCATAAACCTCTAATGTGTGTTTCAAATAAGATTCAATTCATTTAGACTTTTCAGAAATAGATTTTAATGAAACAGGATCTTTAGAATAATGTATGAGTCTCTGATAAGCTCACTTGACAAGACTTTTGGGTAGTCTATCAATAATATATTTATAGTCTAAATAGAACATTTTATTAAATATAGTTTTGCGTAAAAAGTTTGCATACAAATTCATCTATAGACTATAGTAATACTATTTATGCACTTATATGACTATATTATAAGCAGTGTTGGCATATGGACTGGAACGTTCCACTGGAATTGATCCATTGGATCAATTCCATTCCATTGGACGTTATAATACTAGACATAAAGCTTATGTCCAATGATTATGTTATCAAAATTAGCCAATCATTTTTAGAGTAGAAAGTTGCGTGAAATGATAGTCACATTATTAAATTTTATTGATCTTTTTTTTAACGATCGATCAATCAGCATTTTTTATAATATGCCACAACATCATCGCTTGACTATTTTTATTGAACAATTAAATGAGAAAGCAAATTTGTGTAATAAATTTGCTATTTGCAAAGCATGTAAAATTAAAGTGAATTATGAATATGCTTATGAAAACAAATTTGCTAATACAAAGCTTCTCTGTAAACATCATTTAACTAAATGTGAAAATTTTAAAGCTATACATGGAGTAAAGAGAGCATAAGAAATTATTGAAGATACTGACAGTGAATTAACAAAGCAACGAGTACAAAATAAAAAAAAACGAACACGTTATGAAGGTTTTGGTAAGTTGAATATGAAAAAATAAAAATGAAAATAATACTAATGTGTCTAACTAAGGAATATTTATTTAATTTGACATATAGGTAAAAATGAAGAAACTGACGATAATGATCTCATGATGCCTTCAGATATCAATACTTCAGCTATTACATCAAATGTGTCATGTCATTCATCAATTTCAAGCATATCCACACATATTACTTCTACTTCTAGAGATAGTGGTCCAATGGATAAATTTGTATATCATCATTTTACTGACACAACTTTTGATAAATTTTATTATCTACTTTTAAAAGCATCTATATCAAATGGTTGGAGTTTTAGATAGGTAGAAAATCCAGATTCTATTGCTTTGTTCAAATTTATTAATCTTCAAGTTAAACTTTCAAGTCGCAAATATCTTGGCGGAAAAATTTTAAAAAAGGCTTCAAAATATCTTGTTTAAGAAATTCAAGAAAAGGCAAAATCTGATATTCATGAAGTAACCATAACAATGGATAGTTGGACAAATGTAGCCAAACAAAATATTTTAGGTAGTATTTTGATCACTAGTTCGGGTAAAGTATTAATTTAGAAAGCAAAAGATATTAGTGTTGAACGAGCAAGAACTGAAAAAGTAAAGGCAAAAATAACGGAATTAATTGATGACGTTGCTAAAAAAAATATTGTAATATCTGCAGTGGTAACTGATAGCCATTCCTCTTATGCTGCAGTACGGTAAATATTTTTTACACTTTTATTATTAATTTATTATATTTATTTAAATAAACTAATTTACTTCTATTTTTTATAAAAATAGGAAAATACTTCAACTTAATAATCCATCAATAGTTTATCTCCCATGTTTTGCACATCAAGCTAACTTATGTGTGGGAGAAATATTCAAAGAATCTACTAATTATAGAGAAGCTTCAAAAAAGGCTGTTACGATTTCAAATTATTTTACTAGTAAAAATCATACTTATTTTATTGGAAAATTACGGGAAATTCAAAAATCTATGTATAATAAATATCAGAATTTGGTTATACCAGGGTTTACCCGATGGAATAGTTATTATTATTGTTTTAGTAGTCTTTTAAAAACGCGTGATGCTTTAAAGGTATGGGTATATTATACATATTTTTGTTATTATTTTTTTTTTATTATAAATTAATTAATGTTGTAACTAATCATAGAATCTAGTAAGCCAATATGGTCCAAGAATTAAAGAAGATTATTTAGATCCTGGTGAAGAATCCAGCCATAGTAATCACAGAAATAGGCGTAAAAATACTAATAATGAAAATATAGAAGCTGTTGATGAATTAATATTATCAAATTCCATTTGTGATCCTATTAATGATGAGGAATTCTGGAAAACAGTTTGTTCTATCAAAAATTTGCTTTTACCTTATTATGCTTGTCTAAATATTTTACAAAGAGATAAGGCTAGACTTTTCAAAGTTTTACATTCTTTTGGTTATTTTTATAAAATATTATCTAATCATCCGGATGCAACTTTATCTGCTAAATTATGTAAACGATTAGAAAAGCGATGGTATCAATGGGAATAGCCATTGTTAATTCTTTCTTGGGCTCTTAATCCTCATTATCGTCTTGAAAGATTCAATATTAATTTACCAAAAATGAACTGGGTTGATCTGAGTCAATACATTCAATATTATTATATTGCATAGACAGGCAAAAAACCTACAACTATTTTATGTGAACTTCAGAATTATAGTCAGAAAAAATTTCCATTTAATGATTCTTGTGTTAATCAATTTCAAAATAATATATTTGCATATTGGCAATGGTGTTCAACTAAATCAAAGGAGCTGGGTTTTGTAGCATGTCGAATTGCAAGTATTTGTGTAAATGCTGCTTATGTAGAACGATTATGGTCTTCAATGGGTCACCTGCATTCAATTAGGAGAAACCGGTTGCATGTAAGTTTATCAAAATATCTTATTTATAAATAACATTTTTATATTATTTATTTATAATTTTAATTTTATTTAGTATAAAAAGGTGCTGGCAATGGCTCAAATAAAAGGCGTCATTGATCAAGCACATTAAAATCATGATTTAGAGCAAATAAAACAATTATATCACTCTAGTAATGCTCTTACTAATGAAAAAAATCTGAATAATGATGGTAATAATAGTAATCAAAATGCTGATGATAAAGATTCTGATGATGATGATGGTGGCGATGATGATGATGACAATGATGATGATGATGATGCTGATTTTAATCAACTAATTACAGGTGGCGAAAATAATATAAATGGTAATGAATTAAGTTTTGAAAGAATAATGAATTTATGGAACCAAATGTTAAGAAACGAAATATTAGATGATAAATCTGATTTAGAGGATGAAAATAATGAAATGGAGAATTTTGATATTGATAATTATCTTTCTGAGTATAAATATCCTCAACGAGATTCTACAGCAAAATGGAAGCTAGAAAATTTATTTAGTGTAGAATTAGAAGTGCCTGAATATGTAAATAATTTATAAATCGATGATAAAAATAATTTTTGTAACAAATAAAATCCAGTTTGTATAAAAGTACATTTAGTAAATTTATAAAATAATTAAACTATAATATTAGATATCATATTGGACATTTTACTTAATCCATTGGACATATTCCAATTAATCCAGTTAATACAATTGGACATATTCCAATCACGTGATTAACCAGACTGAAACTGAATTATTTTTTATGATATGTCCAGTCCAATAAAGACAATTACTGAACATAGTTCAGATGCCAACACTGATTGTAAATTACGTCATATTTGGTAAGGGATTAGTTAGACTCTAATCACTTGATCAATGGTATATTATTAATATTTAAAAATACACATAACTTGATTTTTAGCCAGCCTTCCGGTCAAAATTTGCCAAAAAAAAAATATTATATATTACACTTGCTTTATTAATAATATAACTTAATAAGAATTATATGTATGAAATCTCTATTCTATGAATTTTTTGGGGTTGAAACTGTTACTACCATTTCACTAGAACTATGTTCACTATTCCCAGAGTCAGAACTATATAATATTTTGTGAATTGTAAATGTGACAACTATTCTCAGAGTTATCAACGCATGTATAAGTAGGTATATGGCACTTAAGGAAATCATATACAATAGGATTGTTGCTTTCTCTATTAAGTAGTACTTATAAATACCTAATTCTTTTCATATAGCATAAAGTTCTATAACATTATTTAAAATAAAGGCAACATGATTATTCACTATTAGTTTATAATATAAGAGCAGGAGGTATAATATGGTCAAAGAAAAGTAAAAATATAATGTATTACCTGCAATGTTAATAGTAAATATAATCAAATTCTACCTTTTGAAAAATTGATTGAATATTCTTTTGAGCTTCGATAAAATCTTAGTAGTATTAATAGAATTCTTGGATAATCAAATTAATTTTTTATGATCTCGCCGACATTTATCTTAGTTGAAATTTAACTTATCAGTTTCAAGATATATTATTTCAAATTCTATATCTTTTTCTAATTGCGTTATAATCATATAATCAGACTTTCATATAAACTTATGAGATCCTTTTTATATAGTACTAGCTAAACTCCTTCTTTACCCCTATTTAGAAAAATTATTAAATAAGAAAAAAGCATAACAGGGAAGAAATATTTTATAGGTAATACTAGGTGTTTACTATATATCCTATACAACAGGATTTCCAGGCAAATTACTTATTACTATATTTATTAATGATATGAATACTTCTCAGACGTATGACCTTTCATTAATTGATTTCCCTTTCTTTGTATAGGCTTTATACTTAGATGATTTCTAAACTTTAAACCTGAAAAGGATTCTACCTATTTATATTATTCATGAGTAGTAAGCAAATACATAAAAGAAAATAAAATATAGAGTAAAAATAATAAACTTACAAAGATTCTAAAATTTATCTTGTCGTATCTTGAAGCCTTTCAGAGCTATCTAACCATTTCTCAAATCCAATATTACGCAAATCCTCATCTTTATTAATTTTTAATTCTTTGTTCTAGATAAATTCTTTACAAATGTCTAATATATCTTAATTCTATTCTAACTTATATTTTTGAAACAGTTCCTTAAAAATATCACAAAATAACTCAGGAATATTTATGAAAGGTTTTGATTTGATATTGAGAACTCCTGAATATATTGGATGATCAAATCTAAGATTTTCTAAATTTATATTATTAAGTTCTATTTTTATCCTCTCCTATATAATTTTTTTATAACTAATATTCTCATTTATAAGTTATCTAATATCACGTTTTAAATACTGTAAATTTGCATTTACATCATCAGGCTACGTCTCAGCATTAATTATCAGAGCTTTCATTTCTGTTAGAAAACATAAATCTTCAAAGGCACTTGCAACCTAAATATAATTAGCTTAGTTAACTTAACATATTTTGTTAATTAAAGTAAATAATAAATTACAGAATCAGATTAGGTTTCCATTTTTATAAATTATCAAAAATGCTAGCAATGAGCTTAATGATCAATATTCTGTAAGCATATATAACTAGCTACTGCTATACAAAAAGTGATGATATCACAATAAACATTAGCGCATTTACTAATATATATACAATAGAATCCCACTATGCCTTTAGAAAATCTAAAAAAAGCATGTCATCATATCTATATAGTGGCTGTCAAAAGAAACACAATAACATAGTACAAAATTTTGCTGATCATCTAAAATCATATGAAAGCATCATAGAAGCATATACTATATCTTATTTGAAAGCTAGAAACTAAAGCTATTGGTCAATATAAATTTTAAATTAAATTTACTATTATTTAATTTAAATAAATAAAACTTTAAAAAAAAATTAAAAAAATTTCATTTTTTTTAATTTATATAATTTATCGTTCAATTTATTAAATTTGTTAAAATTTTATTAAAAAATTTAAAATTTTTATAAAATATGATAAAAAATATATATATTTAATAAATTTTTTACCATTAGAAATAATCTCCTTTTTGGCTAATTATATCTGCAATTCTTTGAGATATTATTCGAATTAGCTTTGTATAAGCCTCAACTTCAATATTATTCTAAGCTAATCAAATTCTTTCCCATAATTGCTCCTTATTTTTTATTGGTTCATTTAAACATCATAACCTTCAATCTAACTCATTCTACATATGTTTGATTGAATTTAAATCTGACGATTATGCTGGTTAATCTAAAATTATAATATTATTTTCTTCTAACTAAGTTCTTGTTAAATGAACCTTGTATTTGAGATTATTGTCATGTTGAAAAATAATTTCATTAACTTCATATTCATAATAATTAAGAGTTTCTAATAGGTCATTATCTAAAATTTTATAATATAGAGTAGCATCTACAGAGGGTGATCACGGATACCCGAACGATTAATTAAACTATTTGAATATACTTATTATATTAACTTTTTTTTTAGAATAAGCAAAAAATTT